CAATAGGCGCACTTCTTAGCTCTCGAATCGGTATGCACTGATTCGCCTTGTTGTCCCAACGCCGTGTGAACAATTCAAAATGCAATACCTTACGAATGGGGTCACATCGCTTCCTCAGTCTGACAGCTCCGGGACCAGATGCGCAACCACATGGCTGACGGATCACTCGACGTTGGGGTATACAATGGCAGTGATCTCGTTTATGATAGAAAAGTTCCACTTCACGAAAACCAGTTTTGAGGTTGCATGGTTTGCCACGTATTTTAGCACGAGGGCAATCTGTAGGTTCATAATTTCCCAGTATTCGTCAAACGTGCCGAGGTTTGTATGTGTGTGTGTGAGGGAGGGGGCGACGGAAAAGAAAGAAACTGCCAGTTTCAGTTCTGATAGGGTTAGAAATGTGGATGCCTAAAACTCGCTATTGACATGTGGTTTCATATGCAGTTTTCACAACCATCGAAAATGCGTTATCCCGTGCCGGTTTCAGTTGTTCTCTTCCAGTCACTTATTCAGCCAACCAACGAACAGAAGAAGTGAGAAAACTTGAGGGCAGTGGAAATATAGATACACAGAATGTGGATGAACTAGGGATTGACTGTGAAGGTGAGCAGATACATGAGGGTCAATGTTAAAACTAATCAGTCATATTACCCACTCTCCCTCTCTGAACATTTATTGGGTCGGTCAAAAAGTTGTCAGTTAGGAAGCACTATGACTTTTACTACCAGCCCCCGGTCAAGATTTTCATAATCTCATGCAAGGTCACAATTCGACACAATTCTTTCGACTACTAGCTGCCTCGACAAGAATCACAGGCGTAAAGAAAATCCAGCCAGCAGCATGCGTAACTCATGCTCCTAGACACTTCAATCTCAGAAGGTCATGTACTTGTGTGAGTACGCGACCGTACAGTACAACTGAGTGAGCCGTCGTCGTATCAATCAAGATAGAGCAGCACAATAGAAGATGACCACTTAACCATGGATTTTTGAATAGTGAACCCCTTCACTGCCGATCCAAGCTTATGGACAGTGCTAGTAAGTCCACACCATATATTTTTTAAACTATTCTACCATCCTAGTCTATTACAGATGAATTGGAACGGAAATAAAGCCAACCTTGGCTAAACCGTGAGTCTGAATTGATTCAACAAATCCGTTACCCTTTTAGAATCTGGAAAATCTGCTGACAGGGTAAAGTGGCTTGCATATAACATTAGTTCTCTTCATACCACTGGAAATGGAACTACTCATGTGAAGTGTAGGATTTTTGTTTAACATACTTTTATCGGATGACAAAGAAACAGGCTACAGAATGCATAACTGTGCAATGAGCTGAAACTTTGGCTATTTCGATCTATACACGGACCGCACCGTTTTCGATCCTTGCTCTCCTATTGAACAAAGTAATGACTGATGATATCCAATGCTGAGATTGGATTTTGTTACAGACTTGGTTAAGATGACGAGCAATAAGGTGGAATCCATTTGACACCGGGCAATGATGCTTGGTTATATGGACCGATAAGCCGACACGTGTGATTTGGAGAATGGAGTACAGATGTGGTTTTCAACCGAGTCACGGATAGGTTGTCCATCACGAAATATCAAAAGTGATATCATCTCAATTATCGAATCTCCTTCATTCGGTTGACGGGAACGGAAAAAGTACGAACCTTGTGAAAAGTGAGGCACCTTATCCCAGTTACTGGGTCACATACAGAACATGTATCTCGGTTTTACAGGCTGGAATGACTCATTCAATTTTTCAATCCTACTGGAATTGTATTTTAAAAGAACACAAAACCAAGTAAAACTCCACCGGACAGTGAACACTATCCCTTAGGGAAGGGAGAATCTCGTGTAAAATGAGTGCCATTGGATTTCACTTGTCACAGATCTCGAATGAATGAACGAACACATTGATGAAAACCGTTTTACGGACACTATTCCAAGTTAGATCAGTTCTTCAAAAACTCGTCGTAATAAGTTTCATTGGAGAACATCTGCATTATATAAACCACCCAGAGAACACAATTGCGGAAAGGAGTTACAATCACTTACACGTTGGTCTGGCATGGTAATCCGCCTGACGACGACGACATTGTAAGTGCTGTCTGTCCAAAACAAACTGAGTCGTTTTTCTGATCCAGTTATTCGTCTGTGTGTCACAATGCATGGCGGTTTGTGGTGGTGGACATCCTAGGACGCAAGTGGAGTATGTGCAATAAAATCCTGAGTGTGGTAGAATGGTGAATAACTTCTTTCTAATTGGTCTACGTAATGGCTCAGAGAAGTGAATACATGGGTTGAATACTCGGCTTTGGAAAGAAAATCAGACACCCTAACGAGGGTCACGGTGTCTATCAGACTGAGATCAATGATAGCATTTGAGAGGTTAGTCCGAGAATATAAATAAAACGTTTCTAAAAAGGTGAAGTTTCAAAGATCATTCGTGTCAATGCGGCAATGATCTGCGTGCTAAGTGTACCTGATTAGACGGACTAGGACCGGCAGATTGGAAACGCAACGAGTGAACAACGCAAACTCAGAGATCCAACCAAACACGAAGAGAAACAACAAGCCCGTTGTGTCTAAAGGATTGTTCGAAGACCTCAAGGAACTGATTTGCTGTCTCCACAATAAACAATAATAATAATACAGATCAATGCTTTTTAAGGGTGATGTGTGAACCTAGTAAAAATCTGTTAACACCTTGTTTGTTCGAGCTGCTATTTGACAGTAGGGAGAAAATGAGCTATTTAGCATAGTGGACTTTCTGAACGCCAATTATTGCGCACTAATTTCTATTTATAGCTATGACAAAACAAAGGGAATTCAAAACTTCAGAGGTGAAAATTCTGCCTGCATCCAAATAGACAATGCAGGTCAACTGCTCCAAAGACAGATCTTGACCATAAATCTATCTTTTGGTTGAGAATAATCCAGATCTCGATGACCTTGGTCAAAGCACCACTTCTTCTGTACGGAAATCACATACGATTAACGGATTTCCGTGTAGATGCTAAAAACACCTATGAGGCCGGATACATGGATCGAATGCGAATAGCCGAGATTGAGAATGATACAGACGCACAGAACATTTGTACAATCAATTGTGCACCAAACGTGACGGAAGGCGGCGTTACAGTTATGCACAAAATTTCGAGTGGAAGGCTGTCACTAGTTTCAGAAACCATGGCAATCAAATGTCGGAAGCCCCAGTGTGTCAGCAGGAAGATTTGTTCTGTAGTTAGCAACGGGTGAGATGCACCTAAATNAATGGAATTCCGTCATACTTAATAGAAATTATTTGGTATCTATTCGACTTTCTCTGAAAATGCTCGCTTCAGGGAAATCGATTGGATAGAAAAACATCAATCAACATTTTGTAATTCATACAACTTTTGATATAAATTTTCCACATTCTTCCCTCAAGTTGTCATGNGGAGTTTTTTCTGTTTTGTAGATTTCTTGAAAGTTTAATCCAAAACTGAAGTACCAACAAAAGTGATATGCCATTTAATTGCCGAAATGTTGGATGTGCGTCAAGTTAGTGGCCATTAGGATGTTATACTACGGTTATTCTGGCCCGCTCAGTCAAACTAAAAGTGATCGATTTTTAAGAGGCAGTACCGTACAAACACAAAGCAGCGAGGTGGGCCAAGTAAATATGGGGAATATTAGATTGGATTCAATGAACAACTGGCTTTTGAGCGAGTTCTCAACTCGAGAACGTAAATTCTAAACAGATGGAAGCAAAGCCAATGTTTTTTTCCCACTTAACTGTATAAATAAGTAATGGGAATAATTTTGAAGTCACCCATCATCCAGGCGGTAGACAAGGGCTGTTATGAATACTTCGTTTCTGTGGTTGAATGATGGATCAAAAAGTGGTCATCAGAAAATCAAACGAGGACGGAACTCTAAGATCACTTACGGCAAGCCCCTTCGCGTATCACGTGACGTCGACGAACACATCTGCATTGATGTGGGACCCAAACGGTAATCCATAGACGACCTTGCCCTGTTTGTTCGTCACAAGAAAAGTGTAACACTGGTCGACCATCATTTTGCCGAGGTTCGAGCAAATGGTGTTGGCGACAGTCGATCGGCTTTTGTACCAGTTCCTTGCGTACAGCACAATCAGATCCGTCCAGTTCGTACACTGTTCTAATTCCGCGCAAACGATTCGTTTGGGGATCACACGTGAGATCAGACAAGCGAGGCTTCGGGCAACCTTCAGAAATAAAAGGCACCAATCATGCTGGAGCGGAAGAACTGTACAACGTTATTTTAATTAATTGCAATAAGTATACAAATTCAGGCCGAAATCAATACGAATAAACTTTATACAAATTCTGGTCCAAACCGCCGACTAGCACGTTGGATTTTCCTCTTGTATTTTATTGATCAGCGGGAATATTGCTTTTAATTATATTTCTTTCTCGGATGTCTGGAGCTGGGACCAGCGGTATACTCAGAACAGATCCTCTTTAATAGCACATTCTGTTCGAACCTAAAAATGTCAATTGATTGGAGCGGTATAATTGAACTTCACTTGATACATCTTAGCTAACGTGTTGACATCACCGTTCAAGGATTTACACTTACTAGCGCATTCATTTGGAGCATTAGTTATACAGAGTAATAGAAACCAAGGATACTTGACTATAGTGACCTGCTTGATCCCAGGTCAACGGGCGAATTGGAGCCTGAGATTGAAGTAATCCTATCGTTTCCGGTGCCATATAAGAACCAGACTATTGTACACGATGGATCATTGAATGGGCTTTAGGCCACAATGTACAGCAACCACCAAAAAGTGAACCATGAAAAGCCCTGCTCAAGAATCCGATGATAGATGGGTATCATATTTTTCGTTCATTTTATAATCGCACTAGTTTTGTGTTTCACATAATATGATAATATTCATTTACTCAACAGGACCACGATCGGCGTGGGTAGAAAATTTCAAGCAGCGTTTCGTAATCTCAGGAACCTTAAGTGAACAAATTGCATCCTATTGTCGAATGGCGCTTATAACGTGACATGAAAATGGTCCTACGCATTCCAGGAGATGCAAAATAAGCAACGCCGCCGATTACTTCTGTTCCCATTTTACTGAGTGATCATAAAAGACCTAAACTCTTCCATTGTTTCATGAAAATCTTTATGTGGCTGGATGAAAATGAGGGTTGAATGCATTCTAGCCGAGCGGGGCCTTATGTGGTTCGCCACTCCATGTCCCGGGGTTTAGGCCAACGGTTTCCTTCACAGAACAGCAGATCCTCGTGACAATAGGGCTTTCCCCGTCCACTGTTCATTACACTAAAGTGTGCAATAAACTGACCCGTCAACCACTCACCATGACTATCCCCCCGTGAACACACCCCGCCCCACTGTCCTGTTGTTGTTCGTCTTCCTGTTTTGCCCGCCTATGTTGATTTCATCCTCCCATTGATCCGTGCGTATGACTGATCACGACACCGTTTGCGCATACGCACGCACCATTAGCATGTTTTCTGTACTGCACTGCGATGTTGTCGGTCTCACCGGTCTCGACCCTTGTCCATGATCCTGACACTTGTGTACACACACACACACAAACATCCACCTACCCACACGTACACAAGCTTACCACACTCGTTTTACGGTGTTCCCCAAAGACAAACGCTCACACCCACCGTATTTTGATTGGTTCCCCTTAGGGCACTTCTCACCTTCAACCAACAATGCCTGTTCCCGTTTGACATTGGTTTATTCGTTCCGCCGTCACCGTGCTGTTTGCCTGCTTGCACGCAGTCCCTACTTGTTCAATAAAATCGGCTAATGCCATCCCTGGTTTGAGGTTTGCATATTTTACACAATTTTCATTTTTTCATTTTTCAATACCAATTTATAGAAGAAACCTCTTTGTTGAACGATATCGTTTTCTGGGTTTTACGAGGATGATCGTACTTTGTAACGTCAACAATGAGTTTCGAATCGACAGAAGTGAACGGTCGATACCTGAAATCAGTTTGGGATTTCCTTTGAAGTCTTTCTAAAATCATTAGTTTTTTGACTAAACCAGGGGTTGTGTCACTCTCGTGGACTTACCGCACCGTCGTTGCTCCGTCACAACTCGATTTTTGCACTGACAATTGTCCTGATACGAGTGCAAATACTTTCGCGTTTCCACATTCGTGATGGGAGAACATTTGGCAGAAATCAGTTTTGTGAATTTGGGACACACTGCAATAGTCACGAGAGAGAAAGGATATAGTTCGTAATTGTCTGAATAAATGTATTCTCTTGTGGAAGTTTAATGAATCGTTGCGGATTTTGGCTATGATAGAGGTGTATTGGTTTATACGGCGAACAGTTTATCAACGCAGAGGGAAAAATACTGAGCTCTAACCTGCTTTCAGTATCAGATAAACACCGAGAAAAGCTTTCGGGTGTCTTCGCACAGTGATGCCAAACACCTGAAGACACGCAGAGGCGTTCACGTGTGACGACAAAAATAAGCACACTTATCTCGGGTTGTTAAAAATTAACCTGAAAGTTCAGCATTTATTTTCAATCAGCCAAAGATTGCAATCGATCAATTCTCATATCTTTTGTATATGTTTACTGAGCAATGAATACATATACCGTTGTATGATTACACAAAAAGGAGATTGAAATTCTCGACTNCGACTGAACATAAAGCTCATGTATGCGCAAATATTATATCCGATATCGCAAAACAGCTGCATTTCTAGGTGCTATCCATTCATATTTTGGAATGTGTTGCTCGATTAACATTGTTTAAAGCTTAAAGTTGTTACCGTTTTACAGCCTGTGGAGACTGATATAAGAAGACCTGTCCATCACAAATGGTAAAAATAAAAATCATCAGAATGGAGACTAAACTCAAGACGGATTTTCTTGAGTTGTTGTTTTTGGCACTTCGTCGAGTCAACACCTTTCCTGACTGGTTGTTCGATCTGTGTGATAACCTCATTTTTACATTGATTGATGTTCGGTGTTAAATGTATCCATATTTGGTACAAATCTGATGACCCCTCAGTTCACAGTATGACAAACTCCTGCTGATTGCATTATACCGAGTCTGTAAAATGTATTTGTGATTTCATAATACCGATTAATGTGGCATCTCGGATTGTGCAAGTGCGATGATGAACATGATGCAAGTTGGCAAACCTGTCCAGAATTTCGGCGCTAAACTTTATTTCATATACGACATGGCATTGCCACTAGAGGGGGGGGGGTTGAGACAAAATCGGGGACGCGTGAGGAAGTAGTGTACAAAATAATCGACCGGCACAACAGAATGAGCAATCAGATATCAACAGTCCTCCGGGGTGCATGCAGGAACGAAAATCGGGANCCTACTCCAGCGATCTGTCTAAATGTGCCGGGGCGTATAATTGTCATAGATTTACCGATATCACTTGCGATGAACAAGTAGTAAGAAAGCAAACAGTGCGCTCACTCTTTAAAGATGATCCGAATCGGCTTGAATTGGGGTTTGTTGATTTTGAAATGCGGTGTCTGACCGATTATGCGGATGTGATGCCCGTCACAAAACGGCTGCTTCATACTGTGCCCGCAAGAACACCACCAGTAGACTCGATTCGGTTCACAAATCATCTGCAAAGGGCGTTTGTCTGCAATTCTCGGTTTGTTTTTTGCGCTTATGTTATAAGCATCTAAGGAATACGGAAGGGGGGGTTGAGACAAAATCGGGGACGCNTTTAAGTCTTCTTGAATCATGATTTCTTGGTCCTTCTCACTCGGGATATGTGGCAAATGTTCATTTCCGAGAAAATACGAAAATTGGCACTTGTGTCGCGTACAGATAGAACCTTACACTTTGGGACATTGAAGAAGTGCTGGATAGGAAAGTGTAGAGAGATGGAGAAGGCTGCGGCCATTGGTAATGGTCGCAATCTTTTCCATCTAATTAGGAATACGGGTCCTGGGAAAACAGGCGAAGTAAGTAAGGAATCTGATGGCACATTGATACACGATCAGCAACGCCGTCTTGATCGATGGGCTGAACATTTTGAGGCTCAGTGAAACTGGGCCTCGTCGACATCTGAACTACCAACCCCCCACCGCGACTGCGCAAATACTGCCAGTCGATGCCAGTCCTCCATCTGAAATGGAGGTTTCCCGGTAAATGGGTTATCTCAAACGGCATAAGGCTTCCGGCCCAGACGAGCTGTCCGCATCGGTTTTTAAGGATGGAAGCTCAGCCTTAGTTTCGGGGTTAACAAACCTCCTGGGTTCCGTGTGGGAGAGAGAACAGGTTCCAGCTGAATGGTGTGAATCTGTCATCATACCGAATAACAAGAAAGGTGACATATCCTCTTATGAAAACCACAGAGGAGTTAGTTTAATCAACATTGCCTCTAAACTTCTCGCTGGTATCATACTCCGTCGATTGTCTGCCGCACGTGAACGATGCACGCGTGAGAACCAGGCTGGTTTTAGACCTGGTCGAGGTTGTATCGACCACATCTTCACTCCCTGTCAAATTCTGGAGCACTGACATTCTTTTCGTAGACCCACCATTTCTGTATTCATAGATCTGAAAGCGGCTTTCGACTCAGTCGACCGCTCTAATCTCTGGCGCTGCCTCCCCCTAAAGGGTGTGTCCGAGAAATTAATTTCAATATTACGATCACGTTACACTAATAGCCGAAGTCGAGTCCGGACTTACGGCAATCCCGAGTTCACCACGGAAAGTGGTGTTCGTCAGGGTTGCCCTCTTTCTCCTTTTCTATTCAACTTCGTCATAGAGTTGAATATGGAAACAGCCCCATCCTCGTGCAAGGATAGCGGTATCGATTTACTCCCAGGTGGCAGACTGTCTGATCTAGAGTATGCAGATGACATTGTGCTGCTAAGTGAAGATCCAGGTAGGTTGCAGGCATTTCTGGATAACTTGAATGCCAGCGTAGCCATGTTTGGTTTGCTTTCTGCCCTTTCAAAGTGTAAAGTGTTACTACAAGACTGGGTTGGTCGAGCACCCAGCAGCACTCTAACCTGGGAAGTAATAGACCCAGTGGACAGGTTTTGTTGTTTGAGTAGGTATATTTCACTCACGGGGAGCGCATCACGGATGAAGTGTCATCTCGGTTGAGATTTGCTAAATTGAGATAAATGTGGCGCTCTTCGTGAAGGATCAGGTGTGTGCTGCGGCCGTTCGGCCAGTTCTGCTATACAGGGCAGACACTTGATCATTACCAAAACATGATTAGGACTCCCGATGTTCTAACATAGCTATCTACGCGGCGTTGCACGAATCTGGTGGGTCAACCGGACGAGCAATGCAGAGATGGTCGACCTCCATACATTACGTGGGTTGGGGCATTTTTTACGCATGTCATCTAATAGGTTTGTTTGGCGCGTGATGTTTTCCGAGGCAGGTACTGGGTGATAAAAAGCCAAGGGTGGTCAAAATAAGACCTAGCATGAGGAAATGAAAACCCTGACCAAGAGACTCGGTCATATGGGTCTCGTAAGGCCTCCTGGACACGGACTCCGAGATCATAGTAACCGGTGGTTAGAGACACTGAGTTGTATGTCTGGGTGTTGTAAACAGTGGCGTTCGTGCATCTTCTCAATTTTTGAGCAATCCTAGTCCACTGAAACTCTCCATTTTCCCCTCGACTCTACTCTCAACATTCCTGTCGTTTTCCTACTGCTTCATCCAAATGGGCAACCAAAGACAGTAACCAAAATCGGCGCCCAGAAGAGCTTGGTTAATGAGTGTACAAACTGAACTAATCAGAGTAAAACTCTTTATTGAGCACTGTGAAGGTCTGAATGGCACAAGTATCCGTTATATCAAATCAGAATTGATGTTAAAACATCTGGCGGTGTAAAACGAGCTTATCATCCATGAGTAAATACTATTACTAGTGGAGTAGAAACCAAAAATCTTGAAATTTCTTCAGAATTCAATGAAAAGATTAAGACTACATCCCTGTGGAGAACAACTTACGCTTCAAACAACTAGTTCATGATATATCTATCTATCAAACCTCTGAAGCACGATATACTAAAAGCCGTTCAGTTTCGTTATCCACACATGGAAGCGCTTTGGGTACTTACAAACACTTGTTCGTCTCTTGAATGCCATCTCCTCACACCGACATCCAATGGGCACCAACTGAATGAGCGTGTGTACCAATTCTTGTGTCCCGACATCACATTCGGTTGACTTGATGGCTTCACGACACACTGAATTTAAAACGGATAACCGGGGTGAAGAAGGGAGTATTAAGATTGAGAATACAAAACGTCTCGTTCCTTTCGAAAATTAGCTCTATGTGATTTGGAAAAAATAGATCTGCACAAAAAGTCACCAGGAAATAGGTTGCTGACTCTGTTTACTGTCTCACCTTTCGGGCAAGGGGTATCTACTGCTTGAACTGAACATTTGCAACGGTCCACATTACCAAAAAGATCCCGCAGCAGTCGAACTCCGTGTTCATTTGACCTGGCCCATTCGTGACGCAAGAATCCGACGGCGCAGGGCACGCGTTCACGAACTTGACGTATCACATGTACACAACGACCTTGACGTAGCACAGTCTCTGAGATCCGTGTCACTTGTTCATGTCCAGATGTTGTACACGATCGTTCAAGAATCTTGTGATTTCTCGGGCAGCCTGCACGGTTCGTAGCATGGGGAAGAGGAAGCTTGAGAGCTCAGTTAGTGGGTGCGTGATTTAACCGTAATATCAGATAATGTTTATTTCGAAAATGGGAATAATTATTTTGTTCCCACTCCGTAATGAAGTACCCCATCGTTTGCCATTTATAGGCTGTTTCACGGTTGGTTTTACGCTTGCAGTGTAGAAATCGATAAGTAGGTTGAGAAATCAGTTCACGGTGTGTACCTTGAAGTAGTGGATGGAAAGAAGTATTAAATAGGAAAAAATCGCACATATCTAAAACTATTGTACTATTCTATCATGTAGCCCATTTGCTCATTACTTGAGTGATTCGTTAGGTCTTGATTTCTCTGCTTACACCGAGACATCTCTGAAACGTGTTTTAACAATCGGCTAATTTTAATGCATTCAGTAAATGGACAACAGATCAATACAAGTTGGACAAATTGGTTCAGTCTAAACGCTGCCTGTACAGTGTGGAAATCTGGGGCAGATCTGGAACGCCGCGATTTTCAGTGAAAAAGAATTGTTTACCATTTTTTGTGCTAAATTACGTTGCGTAATTGTCTGGTGTTCCATACAAGTAGAACAAAATGTTACCCCTGTTTATGAAACAGACGAGCAGTGAATGCACTCGTTACTCATAAACATGTCTTCTTACAGCATGGAGTTTCAATTTTACGTATGATCTCAGCCTTGCATCGTCCTGGACTCGGCCCATCATAGATGAATTTTTGCCATACAGAAATATTCAGACATCGCGCGTCACACTGCTCGCTAGTCGTATGATAGCACCACTGCGGGCATTGTTGCACCTGTTTGACCGGGGGTTCATTGGCCTCGGGGCAATCGCACGCCTCGAATTGGACATCAGACGCAGGCTCGTGACACATACACTCTTCGATACGTGGACTGGTTGTCAATAGATGACGATATCTTCTTGTATCTCCCGGACGCTTGATGTTGCATTCCGTAATACGTCGGATTCCATAGGCAGCACATTCTGCCGTTCAGGCAATGGGTGCGTGGTACGGTGGAGATAGAGGAGAGGAGAGTGAGGTAGCCAATAGACGATAACGAAAGGTGAATGATGATCTGTGCAAGAACTTAAAATCAAAAGCCAAAATTATTGTTTTAGATGAAAAGCAGTTCAAATATTTTCCCCAACTCATGGTATTTTATATACACTCTTTCCATCCCCAGTATCTGGTCTCAATGGACTTCGGGGACTTCATATCTTTTTCACCATGTTCTAAAATGGAATATTAGCTGACTGATTATGTATTTGAAGTTGCTTACGAGTTAAATAGACAGTGTCTGGTTTATTCAAACAGGACTCTATTTATGCCATACCGGTCGGGCATTTACTTTTGAACTCTAATGCAATACTAAAGTTATTCGAGAGAAAGATCGGAAAACAAGTTGAATCGCAATATCGACATACACAAATTTGTGTTTTTGAAAAACTAAAGAATCCCACATCAATGCGATTCGGGTAGAAATACTCAGAGCATGCAAGGAATTCCAAAAACGAAATGATCCACATCTGTTCATATTGGTGAACTTGTGGTTCATCCCTGAGTTATTGGGAAGGAAAAAAGAGCTATCATACTAATCT